TCCCCGTTTGAAACACTGGTCTTTGCTCACAAACCGGTTTGTCAGATCTGGATTCTCGTTACTAACAGGCTGACGTTATACACCCGGAATATTAATGAACGCTCTCAATGTAAAGAAATCAATTGGGTTGATTGAATGCAGTGCAACACGTCAACTGAACTGTCTGCACAATTCCGCCATCAGTCTGATTGCAAAGTCTGCGTATACCAGTCGACACCATGGTGGCTCTTTGGGCTGTGATAGCATATTTCCTTGGGCTACAAGTGCACAGGTCGTCCGCGTCTGGATGTCAGCATGGAGAGATGAAGCAGGGTTTTAAAGTAACGTCAGCTGTGTACAGGGAGGACCGAGGGGTCTCCCTTTACAGATGCATTGCTCATTGCCAGATGACGAAGACATGCGAGTCCATCAACTACCACACTAGGTCCAAGTCCTGCGGTCTTTTGGACACTGATGTTCCAAGTCTGTCCAGAGATGAAGGCTACATATTTGTTCCAATGAAATCATTTCACAAGGTAAGAAGGCATTCGTTTTTATGTTGCTCTTAATCTCTCTAGTAAGTCAACTGACTCCACTATGAACAGTAGAAGGGTTCTAGGGCACACTAAACGTTTTGTCGTCCAACATCTAACATAACAGACTGTTATGTGATATTAGTTGACCCAGTGCTTCACGTAACCCCTCCTGAGGTATGTTATAGAAGATACGGTGCTCAGTGAGCCCTACTGCTAGTCGTAAGAGGCTACTGAGCTGACACCGTACGTATTGCGGTTTAGAACTGGCCAAAAGATAAATCACTGGATTGTCTGATCCAGTCGTTAGTATTTACGTAGGACTATTGCTTAAGTTGGTATTACCAATAACCTAAGAATATTTGATTAAATATCAGTTTAAAACCTAAATTGTCTCGGTCACATAGAGGTTATCCCATTTGAGTGTTTTGGATGGTAATTATCTGTAGTAGGAATAAGCAGTTATCCAAATATTTTCTTCTCATTCCCGCTGTCGTTGAGCTTCTGTCAGTCTTTTCAGTCCCTTGTCGTCTGTAGTGGCTTAAAGCAATGCATGTGGTGTACCATGGATGTGGCTTTTTAAAATCTACAGCCATAGGCTTCAGCTCAAGGCGATACATAATTTGATGATGCACGTGCATTTCATGTAGGGTGCGTTTTAACGATTCACTGTAGACATGAGTGTAACGTTACGTTTTTGTTCAATGTTTCTTTTTTCAAACTTTTTGTCGTCGGCAACCATTCCCCCACATGTTGGCATTCAGCATGGATTGGTTTGTGTCAAATATGTTCCTAAAATTCAACTTTTTCCTATGTATAGTTTCTTTTTTTTGAAGAGTATATATGATGTTCACAATGAATCCGGATGTACTAACGATGTATACTCTGAAGAGGGATCAGACAGATAGACAGACAAGAATTTTATTGTATTCCCACATACAGTTTACAGAGTTATGCAGAAGTGTTTTTCATCTCTTAGTCCATCTCAAGTCCATTGTTCTCATCCCTTTATGTACTGGCATGTGTTAGAAACAATGACAGATTTCTGATATTTTGTTCAAAGCACGAACATAATAAATTCAAGAGCTACATCGGGGAGGAAGTGTGTGTGTGTGTGGGGGATGCGGTAACAGGTAATAATCTGGTATATATTTCTTTTTATGTATGATATTCACAATGAATAAGAATGTACTAACGATGTATTCTCTGAAGCGGTCGTTTGTTAATTTCATCTTTAGGGTGGGGCACTGAAGGAGTAAGTTTTTGAGTGAAGGTCACGTTTAGTGGCGTTGTCATCCAAGTAGTCCTTCTTTCTTGAAGATCCGGGTTAGAATATTGATCTTCAGTAACTCATACTTGTAAGAGGCGACTAACGGGATCAGTTGGTCAGGCTCACTGACTTGGTTGACACATGTCATCGGTTCCCAATTGCGCAGATCGATTCTCATGCTGTTGATCACTGGATTCTCTGGTCCAGACTCGGTTATTTACAGACCGCCGCCATATAGCTGGAATATTGCTGAGTGCAGCGTAAAACTAAACTCACTCACTCGCTCACTCTTTCTTGGGTGCTGAACCAGCATCTTTGAAGATGCGGGATAGAGCTGTCCTTCAGCAACCTATGCTTGTCGTACGAGGCGCCTAGCGGCATTGACTGCTCTTGCTCGCCGGTTGATGCATGTCATGTTATCATTATATGTAATAGCCCAAATTGACCGGATAGATTGGTGTTCATGATGTCAATCACTGGATTGTCTGGCCCAGGCTCGACTTTTTACATACGGACGTCATCTAGCTGGAATATTGCTGAGTACGTCTTTAAACAGAACAAAACAAACTGAACCAGCCACAATGTTCTTATGACATATTTAACAGTTTTTACCCATGTTAGGGAAAAGCAAGCATGAGATCAGGTTAATTAAAATGGTGATCATATTGATTTCGTACACAGCGATAGAGGTATGATGTTTCTGTTCTGAAATTGCATTAGACATGTGTCTTTCAAAGTTGGATGTCTTGAAGCTGTCTTGTATCTGGCAATTTTCTCAAACCGGAAGTGTCCTTATACTGGAAGCAGCCGCACATACACATACACACGCATGCACGTCGTCATATGAGCGAAATATTCTCAAGCACGACGTTAAACCCAATTTCACCTCACCTCACCTTATACTGGACATGTATATGTTAGGGTATCTAAGGGCGCCTTGTTGTGTTTGTACTACAGTCGATACAACTTGGACCCAATATCGATAATTGTGACACCTGACACGATGGCTTTTCAATGAAACCCACCACTTCAAATATGAAAGCGGTACTCTTCTAGTGTGTTTATGCATGTATTGCTTTGATAATATTATGGACAATATTTCGTGTTGGCGACAAAAATAGGTATCTGCTACGTATTTTCATATAATTTGTCAAAATTCGCAACGCTCCGTTTCAACATGAGGGACTAATATGGAGTGAACTAAGCCATAGTCTTTCAGAGTAAATCCCTCAGCTATCAAGTTCTTACACGAATTTTGCATGCGGTGCGATCCGAAGCGATTAAGATAGGTAGGCCTCCTATTTTTGACGCAACGCAAATGAACTCGCATGAGGAATTCCCCTGATGACGTCATTCGAATAAGGTATTTCCCCAACACGTTGACAATCAGGTAAGGTTATTTCCTCATCTTTCGATAAAAATATGCGATTCCAATTGCAGACAGGGTGTGTTTTGATGAGATATTATTTATAATGTGTTTCTGCGCCTGTCTGTGCATAACATATACAATAATATGACAAACCTTTGATAAAAATCATTCTCAGAACAAGCTTCTTCAAGATGCTTATAAAAGTCTTATGAAAAATGAAATTGCCCAGATATTTCATGAGGCTCAATTTGGTTCACGTCAACAGAACCCTCAGAACTATGTTCCCCAGGGAAGTCAGTACTGCTCAAATTCTATATATGTGGAATTTGTAATGCCAGAGTCTATGAGAGAACAATGTTGGTATGAAAGTAAATATTTTCTACATACTCTTAGTTCAATATTTCGAAAACACATAAAAGATTTATGTTATTTAATTCCCTAATAATTCCCTTATAAGACGATTATATGTTCCTTCAAGTAATCTTTGTTGGTTTAAGGGATGTACCCACCATCTCCGTGTTCTGTTCTCTTCCTCATGCACAGAAACTGCTAGGAATTTTCCTCCATCTGATATTCATCCGTCTTATATCGCAGATGATCGCACCTAGTGTATTGGAAAAGACGCACTCGGTAACGCATGCGTCAAAAAATGCGGACGTAGTGTAAATCCAGCCTAATCAGGGAGAATCTGGGATTTGAACCGAAGATCGTAGGATTCTGACACGCCTGAGAGACGCAACTCCCATTGGCAACTGGGCAACCGGGCAACTCGCGTTTCCAGATTTTAAACACTAGTCTATATTCAAAGAGTCAATTGTAGTTTTTTTATGTTGTAAATGATACATTTTCAAAGATAATCTTTTCACAACTTTCATTTCAGTCTTTGGAAGGTAGATGTTCCAAATTCAACTGTAGTTCTGGTAAGAAATGTATAGTGAACAGACTACACCGGGCGTCATGTGTGGTGGGTAAGTTTCTACAGTCTCAAGGAATATTCTTGGCGACTTCGGTTGCTTACTTGGTTTGGGTTCGACAGATTCTAGTTTTTTTTAGTTATTATTATTGGGTGTCGATAGTGAGTTGAACTCCATGCTACCAATCATGCCATACATAATGGACCACATAAATACTTCATGTCTAGCATTGCATTCTATAAACATGTCACAATAAACCCCGTAATTACTTCGAAACTGTTTAGGTTCGTTAGATTCATGACAAATATCACCAGTTTTTCCAATGTTCAATGGTGGCCACAGAGTACGTCAATTCCGACGAACAGTCATTAGTACGAGATTAGGGTTTCGATTTCTATAGATCAACTGATTACCGACATCGATTGATGTTTCAGTTCAGTTACAGGGGAAAGGGCGTAATTCGATTTCGTCATCACCGCACGTGACAAATATAGGCATAGCGTATATATTTTGTACAACAGAGCGATTCACACAGACACCGATAGTTTGGTCGCTTATGCTTTGCTTTACATTGCTCCCTACCTACAGTCACTAGCAGCTGAAGGGATGGCATAAATCCAGCTAGAGAACCATGCAGGAAGCATAATTAAATTACATTTGTGACGTCATTCCATTGTCTGTTCGCTCCATTACTTTTCAGGAATGGAGCGATGTGTACCAGTTTCAAAATAAAACCTTCATTTTGTCATTTTGACATTTAATTTTGATAACAGAAATATTCCCAATACTTCGAATCCTAACTCTCCATTCCTTAAAAATAATGTGCCTCGGCCCCTTCGGGGCCTCGGCTCCATTATTTTTAAGGAATGGAGAGTTACTCGGACATTACCCTCTACGTATTGTACGTCCCCACGGTCTCCAGTATCGTTGCCCAACTACCGTTGCTGGCGATCTCTTGCCAATCGTTATCTCTTGACGTTAATTGTTAGTGAATTGTTTTAATTCTCCTTGATCTAGTTTTAACAAATACGTGATGACATAGTAATTTTACTGCCCTTCATTGACAGGGTTCTTAAATTATTTCCTTTTTAAGAGTTTGGAACTAGTTTAACTCACGATACGGCTGAAATATTGCCTCACGAACGTACAAAATGCAGTTGAGACACATTCGTGTTACATTACACCCTGGTCTAGAACTGGAGTGAGTGCGTGAACGAGAGAATAAGTGGATGGATGAAATAGTATGAGTGGGTGAATGAGAGAGAATGAGAGAGTGAGTGAGAGAACATGAGTGGTCGAGTATCACCATAGGTGAGTGAATGACAATACAAATACATTCAGCCCAAGATGAATGACTTTACACGTTTGACCAGAACACGAGGTGCTTCCAGCACTCCAGCCGACTACGGGCTGTGGCAATCCTCGAGTGCAGGACAACGCTAGCGTGACTGTGACGGGACGCGACGTGGGTGACGTGGCAACCTACAGCTGCAACCCCGGCAAGATGATGTGCGGAGCTCCAACAGTTGAATGCCAGGCAGCAGGAAGATGGACGACATCGGACTTCCGGTGCCAAAGTGAATATGTGCCCGTGGTATGGTTGATAAAGTAGTCCTATTACATCTATCAAATTATTGTTATCAGACATAAAGTTTAGAAAAATACTTTTGACCAAAAGCTTGAGATTGCACCATTTTGTACTTCAGTTGCACAGATTCCCCCATATTGTATATTTGTTGTCAGAGATAGTGTCAGTTTGGTCGCTCGCATTTGTTTCTCTGTCACATACACCACGCGACGTCGTATTTCTGGTCTTACAATCAGCGTCTCTTGGTAACTATGTCGTGACAAACCTCAAACTAGTATATTTATAATTCGTCATCGACATCCATACTTTGGAGTTAACATTAATAAGCAAATTCAGTGCATTCAATGTATTCACACCATCAAAATTTATCAGTGTGCTAAATAATGTTGATTGTATACTCGTGGAAGACTGTTAATTCGAGGGGAACAATCGCCAAGCGATCTTGTCTGCCGCCATGGTACAGTGTACAGTAAAAAAGGTTCCAACTAAAGCTCGCTCTTCATTTATTTCTCGCTCAATGGCGGGATCCTGGTATCGCTGATACACACAGCAGTATCTTAATCAGCGCATGAGTTAATGAGTGAGTGGGTGAGTGAGTAAGTGAGTGAGTGACTAAACGATCGAGTTAATCCCATAAAATGTGATATGTTTAAAGGCGCTATATCACACCACACTTCTCTGAAAATGAATAATGCATTTATCTCAATAATACTATCAGCCCTCAGTGAAACCAGCACATAATGTATGCAAAAAATATACGTATTTAGAGTACAGTATAAGTTCGAGTGCATTAATACCACGTTGCATTAAATCGACTCTCGTGCCCTCAACTGATCGAAAATCATTTCAATCGAATCCCATAGAGTTACGTCCCTTGGAGCGCTCTTTACGAATATTCTATAACGCAACTTGTGTTTGAAACCAGTTCGGCAAACACCGACAACACCGCGTGCAACAGTTTTCGATGTACGGAGCAAGTGTTCCCTGTTTGGAAGCTGCTCTCCTGGAAGTTTCAATTGTCGATTTCAGACAGGACTTAAAGGATAATAAGTCTTTTACTGCATCAATAGGAAACTAAAGTGAGTGCATATGACCCAGTATGTATATTATAGGCCAAAATATTGTCGAAAATGTGTGAAATTTTGCCTTTAGACAAACAGGTCTAATCATGACAGAACCATATTGTGAGTGATTTGTCTGGATGAGTGAGTATTGTTTTACTACTATTGTATCAGATGCAAGGTGGGGTGACTGAGTGAGTGAGTATTGTTTTACGACAGTAAGGCAATACAGGTGAGGTGAGGTGAAATTGGGTTTAACGTCGTGCTTGAGAATATTTCGTGTGTATGTGTATGTGCGGCTGCTTGTACTAGCCCAGACTTAAGCTGGTTTTATAGTGCTAGCCCACTGGGATACCATGCCGCAGTGAAGCATGGATACCCCACTCAGACACATTATACTGACTCGAGCCGACCAGTCCTTGCCGTACCCATTAACGCCGAGCGCCAGGCAGGGACCAACAAGTACCATATTTTAACGTCTTTTGGTATGACGCGGTCGGGGATCGAACCCGCGACCTTCCGCTCTCCGGGCGGACGCTTTAACCGCTACACCACGGAGGCGGTCGTAAGGCAATACAACCACAGTAACGCCCTCGGTAAATGAGTGAGTTAGTGAGTGATTTCTGTGTTTCCACTCTTCCACAGCTGTAATGCAATACAACCACGGGGACACCCTCGGTGGCTTACGACTAGTGTACCTGTAATGCAAATGAAATCCATTTATGGCGACGAGGAGGCACTTAACCAACGGGGGCAAACAATTTCAAATCACTGGATGATAATATATTTTATGAAATGGGTAATCTTGGTTCACCACAGGTGGAATGGATGGCTGCCTGCTTGTTAACCAAGGAATCCTCGGTAGTGCTGACTGAAATAGAACATGCTATGCAAGTGAGTACCACATCATCATCAGATTGCACCATCACAACATATCGTCATCGTCGTCATCGTCATCATCATCATCATCATCATCATCATCATCATCTTCATCATCATCATCATCATCATCATCATCTTCATCATCATCATCATCATCATCGCCATCGTCGTCGTCGCCGTAGTCATCGTCCTCCTTCTCCATCATCCTTCTCCATCATCTCTGTTCTGTAAAAAAATGGAAACTGAAAAACAAATATTGTTTCCCTCTGTTGTATTATAACTATCCGTTGAACTCTTTTCGCTGTTGACTTTATTGAAAGTTTCTACGTTACTACAACATGCGCGCACGATAATGCTGAACGGGAACTGGGAGGGTGGGTAGTGACAGTGTAGACCGACAAAGCCACCAGCTCGCCTGGTCCACATAATAATCGCATTTACAACATAGCAATACAGAACAAACCGTGGTGTACAAAGCCATTTGAGGAAAACACACTTATTTATGACATGAAAAAACATTACCGTTAGTAGTATACACAATGGTGGAACTGCATCAGGTCCTTCCAAGTCCCTAATGCAGTTCCACCATTGTGTATACTACAACTGAGGTGCATGCAAGATTTGATGAAAATCGGTTTAATTGTTTCTGAAATATTGACTATTAAGTGAGCACGGGGTCGGTCGGGAAAAGGCAAAATGTCCATTTTTTTGGCGTAATTAAGTCTTAGTTAATCGAATGAAGTCATCGAGAGTGTTGCTAGAGCGTAACCATCGAGAATATTCCCAATGCCGTTTTCCTATAGCGTAACCATCTGACGAGATGCATGCACAATTTCCTGAAAATCGGTCTAATAGTTTAGGAAATAATCACTTTTTAGTGAGCATGGGGTCGGTCTGGCGAAAGGTTAACAATCCAACGTATTGTCGTACTTGCAATATATTAGCGACGCGAGGGGTGTTTTCAGCTGAATGAAACGCAGCTCTTGGCAGTTCCGTTCGAGCTGCATTGCTACCATCTCGTTCGGACGTACTTGTAGCGATGTGTGAGCTGTCTGAAGGTGAATGAAACGCAAGTCTCGGCAGTCATCACCTCGCTACCGTCTCGGGGGGTTGCTTTGAGTGAGCGCTGTGGACAAGTATAAGTGTGTGCGTGTGTGTGTGTCTCGGTTCGGCTAAGATGATGCAGGACCGGCTGACTAGCGAGGCTACAGATGTCTGAAGGTGAATGAAACGCATCTCTCGGCAGTTCCCCCAGGTCGCTTCGCTGCCGTCTCGGTAGCACTGAGCGAGCTCTGTGGGTGAGTCGCAGTGTGTGTGTGTGTGTGTGTGTGTGTGTGTGTGTGTGTGTGTGTGTGTGTGTGTGTGTGTGTGTGTGTGTGTGTGTGTGTGTGTGTGTGTGTGTGTGTGTGTGTGTGTGTGTGTGTGTGTGTGTGTGTGTGTGTCTCGGCTGGGCTATTCGCCTACAGCTCGCTGAGCTGGCTGGTCGGCTCGCTACGTTATGTTGATATCTGCGAAACAATTTATTGTGAATCTCCTTCTATGATTTGTTTGGTTTTCGTAATGAAGGTTTATCGGGCCTGTTGCTTCCCTTGTTCTATGAATTTTTTTTCTCGTCTTCGCTGATGATGGCATTTTTACGAGACTTGGTTCGAATCTCTTGTTTCATTCTGTGATATTTTGCGATTTCTGATAGCACCAAATGAAACTCTTCCTCAGAGATTTTAGAGTCGGTGAGTGTGGTGGAAATATGAACCTCTATCGTGTTTAACTTCGCTTCGGCTAGAATTCTAATTTCGTCTTGTTTCAATGCTTTACGTTGCAGTCTGCGAGATACGAACTAGAGGGTTAATCCCATCAACCCTGCCATTCCAGCTGTTATTTCGATGTCTAGCACCACGGGAGCAGCCAGGATGGTGGATAATAACCCGACATCTGCTACGCCTAATACCATGCCGACGGAAACCAGAGCGCTGTCAACACCGTCCACGGAATTGACAGCCCTGTGATTTTTTTCCCGTAATGCCGACCGCGTATCGCGTTCACGTTCTAGTTGTTGTTTGATCTCGCATATCTGTCGCAGTGTTTTTGCTACTTCATCCACGACTGGGTACAGTCCCATCCTATATATAATATTTATTTTTTTATAAAATAATATTTCATTGGTTTTCCGTCAATCATTGATGAATATATTTTAAGCTAATGAAACACAAGTGCTCGGATAAAAAAAATGTTCCAGAGTAAAATGTTAGGTTCTGAAAAAACCATGACCGCGTGTCCCGAGATCGGCTAGCATTAGGTTGGGATAATGGTTCATCTCGTTTATATATAATGTCTTACGAAATGGTTTTCAATTGATTATCGGATAATTGCTCGGACGTGCACTTCAAACCCATGAGATGTATGTTGTTGAGTAGAAAAATTTCGGTGAGCGATATTGTGTCTTCCATGGTCACAGTGACTCCATGCAGACTGGTGTAGGCGTTAACGTTACCCGCACATAACGGAGCAAACTTGGTATTGTTGTCGCTTGGCCCAGCAGAGTCTGATCCCTTCACGATTTCAAAGACGTCACGCGCCGATGGCGGTTCGCGGAGGTAGACTTGGATGTACAGCATGGATTTCGCTGGCAGATTTTCCAGGACGTTTACCACGCTGTCGAATTCCGACACCATCTGCAATCCCACGTTTTGCATCCTGGGTTTGCTCGACAGCATGTGGGCTATTCTTTGCCTCAACATGCTGATGATCGACGCCTGGTCGAAAGTTGACTATGTGTTTTGCGTGGAGTTGTACATGGCTCTGAGCGACATGCAACTGAGGATGCACAACGAGGTGGGTGAAATCGTCATCACAACAAGCGATCAAAAGTTGGGTGTCAACCCTGATATCAACGTGAGTCACGTTGCACCCCCCTCCGGTGAAACGGGGATCATGACTCCATTTCCGGAGCCCAGCGTTCATCCCGCATTACCACACCCATCATCATCCGTACAGGCCATGTTCGAAAATCAGCAACACGTCAATCGTAAAACAGCGCTGGTTGTCAGTGTGATCGCGGTCGGACTGTACCTCATTTGGTTAAAACTGTCTTAGCGGTGACATACACCAGACCCGCCATGGCGACGACAAAAGCTCACAGGTTTTGACCGAGCCACGTGACCATTTTCGGCAAGAAGCCTAACAACCAGGAAACGATGCTGCCCAAGATGCTTGGCAGCGCTTTGGTGGCTTTGACGGCAAGTTTAGCCAGGGGCTCGCCGAGAGATTCCAAATGATTCTTGATCCAGTCTCTGACGTCGCTGCTGCCTGGTGATGATGATGATGATGATGGGCTTGTTGGTGGAGGTGTGCCTCCCGTCAGCGATACGATCAGAGTCTATATGATGAAGCCCAAAGCCGTCAGAAGCTGGCGATGGTTATTCCTTGTTCCCGAAACAGAATTCGGATCCTGTCGGCCAACGTGGTGTCCTCGTTCAAGACTCGGTCGATGGTTTCATGCACGCGGCTGATCTGCGATTTGAGGGCTTCATGGTTGGAGGAAACGGCTTCCAATCGGGTCCTTCTCTCGTCTTCTAGGTCACGCAATCTTTTCTTGATGATGTTTTTGGTGGCTTCGTCATCGTCCACGATCCTGAGTTTTCTTTTCTCATGAGCGATGTGCTCGTCGATTTCGTTCAGTTTACCCATGTTGTTCACGAGTTACCCACGCACGTTTTTCAAGGCTCCATCTAGACCCCGAAGTTCCCTAAGAAAATATTCGAAACCGTTCGAGTATGTGGTCAATATTTTTTCGATTTGGCGTGGTGGGGCATTTCTCTCGGGTTGTCGGCAACGACGGCATCACTGAGTTCGGTCCTTACGTTTTGCAGATCTCGGACGACCTTCGGCGGAAGTTGTTTGGGTCGTGCGCCGCCGTAATCTCGCATGTTTAATTCTTCACGTATCAGTTGACTACCGCCATATCGACTAGCGTTGACAGGGCGAGCGGTTTTCTTGTGTGTTTGTTCACAAGATCGATCTCCAGATGAGCTCTCAATTGCAGCGTCCCTTTGTTGTCGATTTTGAACTTCGGATAGTCATGTCCCAATGGTTCGACCTAATTTTTATCGCTCAATAGGGCATCGTAATTATCGTCCTCGGCCTGCTTTAAAAGCTCGTTGGCCATGGTGTCGCCCATGAACGAGGTATCCATGGCTGCTGCTGCATCATCGTTGTTCAGCTGGTGTACGTCGAAATCGTCCATGAGAATATCGTCCGCCAATTTTCTTATTTTTTATATCAAACTTATAAAATACATAGTTTCAATATCCTGTACGACCGCGTGTTGCGACACCGGACGATCGTCAAGGACAAGAGTGACACGCTGTGGAACATCAACCTGAACGTGCCGGCTGGATCGATGAAAGGCATCTTGATCATTCCCGTGGCGGAATACGAGCAGTTTCGAAGAAACAGCAAACTCACTTGGAATCCCGAGATCACAAAAGTGGAAGTGACAATCGAAGGCGTGCCCAACCAGCTGTTCGGCAAGGCATGCGAGCTTATCAGCAATGAGACGAGAGAAGAAAACTACCAGCCGTCAAGTGACACTCGCCGGAAGTCAACGACATCGTCAAAGACCTGGGTTTACCCTACGTGACGCTCGGTAAGTACTTGGATAAGCATTACGCGCTGTGGCTGGACATGCGATCAACGGACGACGACAGGCTGCACGGCAGCGGACGTCGCATCAACAATGGCAGCAAGGGGATCACCATCCAAATCGCCCAAAAAGCTCAAAATCCGGCCGGCTCACTATTGTTTCGCCAGACCGACCCCATGCTCACTAAAACGTGATTATTTCCTAAACTATTACAACGATTTTCAGGAAATTTTGCATGCATCTCGGCAGATGGTTACGCTCTAGCAACACTCTCGATGACTTCATTTGATTAACTAAGACTTAATTACGACAAAAAGTTGGACATTTTGCCTTTTCCCTACCGACCCCCATTCTCTTCCCACAGAGGTAACTCCTGTCATATTTTCCTACGTAACCTCTGTTCTAATACGGCCATATTTCCCGGTTCTCGTAAAATCCCCTAGCGGCAAAAGATCGCAACACGAATTATCTCCCTTCTTTCTATCCAATCAGAACACCTGTTACATCGACTTAGATTCAACTTGACTAACACAAGCAAATGTGGGGCCACAAATATCCCCCATCTGCCGGGGACTTGTGTTGATGTTACACACAAGACGTTTACTGGCTAGCTTGTCCGTTGTCAACGAGGGCGATGGAGACGCCACTGATCGGCCATAACATGACTGAGTTCTGTCTAGAAGAAACGTTTGCGCATCGCGCAGGGGAAGAAATTTAGTTTTTCTCGAAGCATACGGAAATTACCGAGGCCTTGCGAATGATCACTTTTGAAACAACGTCGCTGATTGCACAACTAAATCTGATTGTCTCCAATCACGAGTCTTGAACGCTCACACCGTGAAAGGGCCGTATTAGAACAGAGGTTACGTAGGAAAATATGACAGGAGTAACCTCTGTGGGAAGAGAATGACCGACCCCGTGCTCACTTAATAGTCAATAGTTCAGAAACTATTCAACCGATTTTCATCAAATTTTGCATGCGGCTCAGTTGTAGTATACACAATGGTGGAACTGCATTAGGGACTTACCAAGGCCTTAATTTGGAAAATTAAGGCCTTGGGAAGGCCGTGATGCAGTTCCACCATTGAGTATACTTCTCCGTTATTTCAGGTTGTCACCATAGAGATTGAAAGTCAAGACACTATAGACAATCATCCTCGATTGGAGATATTACTCGATGCGAAGGAAGCAAAGTGGTTCAAAGGAGGAGGAACTTCGTGGATCCAGCTCGAAACGTACAAGTTTCAGGCGGATGGACGCATCACCTTGAACATCACGTTCACCGCTGACAGGATTGAAGTAAATAGCATTGCAGTACCATCTGACACATCGACAGAGACGGTAGCCAGGCTTAGAGTAACTATAATGTGATGCTAGAACATAGTTCTGTATGGAATAAGTATAATCTGATACAACGAAATAGAGCAAAATTCTGTGTAGAATAAGTATAATGTGATACAACGAAATAGAGCATAGTTCTGTGTAGAATAAGTATAATCTGATGCAACGAAATAGAGCAAAGTTCTCGGTAGAATAGGTTTAATCTGATACAACGAAATAGAGCATATTTCTGTGTGGAATAAATATAATCTGATACAACGAAATAGTGCATAGTTCTGTGTATAATATGTATAATCTGATACAACGAAATAGAGCATAGTTCTGTGCAGAATAAGTATAATCCTATACGACAAAATAGGACATATGTTTATTTAGAATAACTATACTCTGATACCACGAAGTATGACTTTGGTCTATTTAGAATAACTATGCTCTGATACCACGAAGTATGACATAGGTCTATATGGAATACCTATAATATGATACTACGAAATAGAGCATAGATCTGTGCAGAATAGGTATAATCCTATACGACAAAATGGGACATATGTTTATTTAGAATATCTGTACTCTGATACCACGAAGTATGACTTTGGTTTATTTAGAATAACTATACTCTGATACCACGAAGTGTGACATAGGTCTATATGGAATACCTATAATATGATACTACGAAATAGAGCATAGATCTGTGCAGAATAGGTATAATCCTATACGACAAAATGGGACATATGTTTATTTAGAATATCTTTACTCTGATACCACGAAGTATGACTTAGGTCTATATGGAATACCTATAATATGATACTACGAAATGGGACGTGGTTCTCTGTAGAATAGCTGAGAACTGATACGACAAAGTAGGACGTAGATCTGTGTGAAATAAATGCAATATGCAATTGGACATTGTCCTGTGTATAATAGTCACAATCTTATACAACGTAATAGGAAATAGTTATTTGTGAAATAACTATAATCTGAATCAGGACATAGTTTTGTGTACAATAATTATATTCGGATCTAATATACAACATATCTTTACTACAACTTGGCATATCATGTTTGCCGTTTTCATCTTTCAGGTGCGTACCAACGGAATACTGCACCCCAAAGAGCGTGTTGACATGCTCGAAGAAGCTTATAACATTGTCATCAGTTCTTCGAAGGACACGGATGCCATCCGTGTGAGCAACTGCTGCGAATAAGTAAACATATTTGATTTCATCTTGCTGAGAACTTAATTTTCAGTATTCGTAAATGTCATGTCTCCGGATATGACCACCGGATGACGACTCACCGATTTGTCGATGAATAGAGTTGCAGAACAACTTTGTAGAACAGTTATAATCTGATCACAACGAAATAGGACATAGTTCTGTGTCGAATACCTGTAATCTGACATACTGATATCATCTCGCTGGAAACATCAACCCAGCCTTTGTTCGTAAACGTTATGCCAGATCCTCACTGCACCAGCATCTCCGACCGATATGACCACCACATGACGACTCACTGGTTTTTCAATTAATATAGTTACAGAATAACTGGAGAGAATAACTATAACCTGAAACGGACCATAGTTTTGTGTGGAATAAATTGAATCTGTAAAAGGACATATACTGAACCAAAAACGTTCAGCACGTCTGTTGGAAAACTGCTTTACTACTGAACCAAGAATAGGCATGTTATGAAGGATTATGTATCGGTATAGGGGAACCATATGTCCACAAACTGAAAATGTCCGAACTGACCAAGCCATGATGACGTCACAGAATGCAGGGTGGGGTTGCAACCACCAAAATGAAACAGACCACTCAGTATCTTGTGTGGGTTCCTCGTGCGTTCACAACAACGTCGTCACATACTGCCCCTGAGATTGTTGACCTCGGCGACGGTGATATTGTTCCACTCCTGCATCAGGGCATGCTCAAGGTCACGGATGTTCAGCATGTTGGGGTGGTGTTCATGTACCCTTCTTCCAAGGATGTCCCACACATTCTCGCTCGGAACGGTTCTGGTGACCCTGCCGGCCAGGATAGTACTCTGATGTTGGGTACCTGCGATAACTGCATGGTTAGTCTCGCTGTGTGGGCTCTTGCATTGTTCTGTTGGAACAGGAACTGTGGACGATGCTGCATGAATGGAATGACGACTTGGTCTTGAGGGTTCCGTGGATTACCTCCAATTCCGTCTTCCCGTTCCAGTGCATGTCAGTCCACACTATTATACTTTCTCCACCGTAGCGGTTACGTTGAATGACGTTGGCGGCGTCGAATCGTTCACACCTTCGTCGCCACACTCGTTCTCTGTCATCCGCAAACTCAACACAGAATAGAGATTCGTCAGTGAATAATGTCTGGTTCCACCACTGCCGTCGCTAACACTGACGAATTTGCGCCCATCTCAGCCTTTCGTTTAAATGACGTACGTTGTGTCAACGGCACGCCATCTACTGGTCGTTGTGCATGTAAACATGCGGCATGAAGGCAATTTCGGACTGTCTGTCGTAGATCAGTGGCAAGAAGCGCTGCTCTCATCGTCCTGTGACGTCACCATATGACGATCCTCACGTGGGGTGGTTGCACGAGGACTTTCCACGAGGTCGATCTCCAACTTCACCAGCCTGTTGCACCCGTTGTCGAAGACACCGAAATGTGCTTTCATGGACCTTGTAGTGTCTGGCGACGTCCCTTAGACTGTATCCCGCATGTAGTCGTCCCATGGCTTCATGGCGTTGATTTTCATACAATCCGGGCCGACGCCCCATGGTCAGCTGCGTTTTATCACTGTTCGGTTTCTTGCACCAGTGTTGTCAGTGTGTGACATCCACCCTTTTATGCTCCTCAGGATTCACGCAATTGTCGTGAATTCACGACGTGATTTGTACGTGCGACATCCGGGTCGTCAACACGCTTCAACTAGTCAACATTTTTTTTATCAACCTGGACTTTTGGCACAAGCAAATCTTAATTTAAATCTTATTTTAAAAAGATAACTTTGGTTCAGTATAGTTGATAATGCTTATAATCTAAATAGGACATAGTTCTGTGTAGAATAGCCTTAATATGATGCAACGCTCAGAGCATTCCATTCGCCAGCCCAGTATGGTCAACGCTCCCTCTCACCCACGCGCTCATTGATCCACGGACGGTTTGTTACCAGATCATTTGATATGCTGAATAATAGTGATGGTGAAACAAAAATCAAGAATCTGTGTGAAGCAGATTCCAATTCTGTAACGTATTCTTTCTAATTTACAATAAAGTCATACCAGCTAGTAACGGTACATATTTTCCAAAAAGATACCAAACTATAAAATATAGAACTATAACAGTTTCCCCCAATATCGGAATAAATCTTATGCCATTTTAAGGTATGTACGTAATTGTGCTTCTAGGAGCTTGTAAGTTTAATCAAATCCGTCTGTACAACTTTCATGATTTATGAGTACCATCAACAATGCATTGAAAAAAACATAATGTTTTGTTTCCTTCAAATACCTGTGCACATTGTGTCTACCACCACGTTCGTTTAGCTCAATAGACCATGTAATAAAACTCGACTACTGGCGTTGTGTGTTATATTTCTCCTCACCTTTGGTAAGGGGTTAATAGTATTTACACACAATAGAGAATCTCTGAACAATTCTGAATTTGAAGTCGTCTGTTGAGTGTATAGAACCTTTTTAAGCCACAAACACCGTGTGCTCTGTGACTATTCGTCGCCAGAAATGATTTCAAATGTAACAGTTAAACTTATATGTGTCCAAGAGCATATAAAAGGTTTTTTTTCTCTTGTTTATACCGTGTACACTAACAGAAGTAAGGTCTTTACAATGTCTTTGTCAAAGTTCATAGCGACTGAAAACTCGTTGCACTATGTAGTTGTCTGTCAGTAATGAGTAGTTACATCTATGCCATGCAGGTGGAAAGAGCCGACTTAAGAACATCGGATGGTCTTGGTATGTGCTCAGTCATCTCTTGCCATCGTATCCGCGCTGTGGGAGTTCTTGAAGATACCGAAACCACTAGTTGGCCTTTTAATAGTCGATTGTGTACGGATTGTCGTAATACAGCGGGAACGTTGCTGACTGCAACTGACAACAATAAACAAACAAACAATGTCCTACTGAAGAACTCCCGATGAAGGCTCAAAGTCCACAGTCTGATGAAAATTAAGGCTTGGGTACCGTTAAAATCGTTGTGATATTTGTGAGCTTTATTATAACGATCAAGACACACATATATTGGAATGCAATACATTTGCAATAATTATAAAGGGCAAAATAAACAAAACATAGGTAAACGTATAATAACTAATGGTGTAACAAGGTAAGGCTTTCGGCGTCTTCTCTTGTCTCCAACAGGGCCTATCAAACGACTTCAGAGTTAAAACTTCATCACTTCACCAATGTCTTGTCTTCTTGTGCATGTTACTCATCCGCATGTAGTAGTGCGAGAGAAAGGTAGCCATTGAAATCAGTTTCATAACGATAAGCCTATGCCTTGTCACCAAACTGTCACTGTACATGCCTTGATAAAAACGTGATCCGTGTCATAGTGGAAGCAAACAGTGTTCACTAGCATGTTGCTAACACATTATTAATTTATGTAACACAAATACATCGGTTATTTCAAACTTTCAATGACACCATCTTCACCTCAGCGTGGCACTAATGCAACAGGAGACTGTACACAAAACATGAAGGATTCTATGGGCTAAGACAGAGACAATCACAGGTTTTATGTGTTGAATTGCATCTTCGTGGACACCGTGAGTAAGCTAGAAGAGATACATTTGGCAAGTAGAAAACAATTCATACCACTTTGAAGAAGACAGGAAGGAGAAAGTGATTGTTTCTAAAACGGAATTGTCGGACAATAATAGGTGAATATACAAATCTAATGACACATTATTGGCAATCTGGCAGTTCAATAACCGATTTGCACAACCCATTCTGTTGATACCATAAACCAATGAAACATGAAGATGGAACCATTTAGGGCTTAGTGCAGCCTTAATTTAGAAAGCTTTGATACAACAGTCTCCTGGATCACTCCGCAGTGATCGCAATTGTACAACATGTTAAAGTGACCTACTGTGAAGTATCTGTCAGTCTGGATCCTCGATTACATAACATTAGAGCGGAACCTGCCCAAACCAGACATTGAACTTTACGATAAATAATTAACTATGCTAATTTCTTACACGGAACTCAATGTAAACCGAGTTAAACTTTCGAGTTAAACAAAATTCATGTTTGGTCAGATTTCACAGAGCATTCATTTGAACAGCGTTGAGAGATATTCTCAACAATACATTTGCATGGAGACTAGGGTGTCTGAATGACTATACGGCTCTGTGAATACACAAACACGATACATCTGACATATTCTTCCAAACAAAACAAGCCAAGTGAACAAAGGTGTTATAGTTACGTGTGTGTGATAAAACATTCTGATTTTCGACAGGCCAAACAATTAATGCACAGGAAGAAGAACACTTACCCACCAATTTAAAGTGACAGTGACAAAGATTATCTATTACCATAGCGGTATTATTCCTTTGTAAACATCTTCTCGGGGGAATAAGTCCCATAGAACAGTTTTCTAGGAACATTTCCCACCAAACGTGTACCTTCGCAGTATCCATTTCGCATGGAGCTTATTCCATAATCGATACAGTTGATCATTGACAGTTGCACATTTTGTTCTGGGAGATGTTTTTGTGGTCACAGATTCCGATATTTTATAACGAACCGTAAGTGCCAAGGCAGGTTTCATCTACTGTGCATCATTCCGAGGTTAACATTTCTTGGAAAAGATATGTTAGGTAATAATATATTTATTTTTATATGTAATAGAAAGTAGCCCAGAACAACTGAAGAAATGTAGAATGGTAAATGTATTGCAGAATGCCTGATACTCTTCAGTTGTGTCAGGACCTGTATGAACGATAGCTTTGTGGGTCGACTTTGGAAGGACAGAATGGTTCTGTTCAAATCCGCACCAAGCTTTAAAAAGAACAAAACACCCAATCGAACAGTACGGATGTCTCTGTCACGTTAAAGGAAAAGGAATACACCATAAAATGTAACTGCTTATTAATACAGAATTTACCCAATGAGATGAGATGGAGTTTTGGCCTTGTGTCGACCAACCAGCAACAATGCAGTCGCTTTCGTCTTACATCATGAGCATCATTGTTGCTAGGATACCCATGCCAAAAGCAATTGTTGAAGCTCTTCTGAGGTCAGAGTTGTTAACAGGATGAGATTTTATTTCATATATGATACTACCCTGGCCGTCTGTCCCTATAATAGTTTTCAAAGCACCGAACCGTACATCATCGGCAAACCACATCTCAACACTCTCCCCCGCCTGACCCTTGACGTAGACAGTGATGACGTCGCCGACGGTGACATTGACGATCCTGTTGTGAGACATTGGTACCCACTTTTCCAGTTCACCCAGGACGAGAACTTCTCTATTTCTGCAACAAATAGTCAATGCGGGTAAGTGTTTACTGTAGCTTATCACAGTATTTCAGTTACATAACGGCCTGTCAGACTGATGTGGACTGACTGACTGAGTTTAGTTTTACGCCGCTTTTAGCAATATTCCAGCAATATCACGGCGGGGGACACCAGAAATGGGCTTAACACATTGTGCCCATGTGGGGAATCGAACCCGGGTCTTCGGCGTGACGAGCCAACGCTTTAACCACTAGGCTACCCCACCGCCCCCCTGATGTGGAAGGAAAGATGGAAGTGATTCAGATCTTAGACATTTAACACTTGGGTGAAATCAGTGAGCAGAAAGATGGAGCTGAGAAACCCCCCAACACAATGCAAACATGGTACCACCTGTGTCCACTTCACCATATGTTTTCCACGCCTTATTATGCACCGGGGATTTAGGTGTGATTGATGACTGGGGAATGTTCTTACCGAACACTTAAGGAACATAAGAGTGGGTGAGTTGACCCTTTGAGGACCCCGTATAGGGGCGTAGTGGGCGAGCTGTCTAAGACGCCAGGCTCGTGATCCAGCGAGTTTAAGTTGCCGTGATCGAGCCCATCAGTGACCTGGTGTAAAAACCGCCAACGAGTCAACTTTGTGTGCAGACTCTTTAAGTGTTGTCACCAACCCTAGCTAGTGTACAGTACACAACCCTGTGCACTTAAAAGAACCCACGAATCCGTTGGTATATGACCAGATGGTGGTCACATGAATACGTGCAAACACCTAGTTGCGGGTACAGCAACGTGCAGTAAAACTTGGACAAAGTACTGTGACTATGTGTCGCAGTCCACCCAGCTGTGAATGGATACCTCGAAAGGATGGGAAAGCCAGGCCACATTAACATGGTGTGCCTAGTGGCTGCTGGAGTTGTATGATCCCCGGGGAGTTGAGATTGAAAAATACCATGTGCCGTTGAGATTGACATCCAATGATCAAGAGAAAAAAAACAAAGTGCTTTGAGCATGCACATGGGATGGACTAAAGCGCTCTATAAATAACCATATAATAATAATAGTATAATAATAATATTATAATAATAATACTTTACGTAGCCGTCAGAGCAGACTGAATCATTGGACAGCCGTGATTGGATGATTTTGAGTAAGATGTTTCTGTTTCTGTTTTTATATCTACATCCGTCCAGTAACTAAAACTGACTATATGTTCCAATATGTGGGCTTGTCTTTGTTTACATCACGACGTATGTAGAATGTGACCACATATGTTTTCTAGCGGGCGACATTTTGTGCGGGACTGTGGTCTGTTTAGCTTCCTGTACTCGGAAAAGGAACTGGTCTGTTTCATTGTTTCTTTAAGGTTAGACTATGCATACGTGTACATGTAATAGCGGGCTTTGATAATGTTAGCAACAAATACAACGTTTCTATAGAGATCAATGGTAAAAAAATCGATTTTGTGTACATGTGAGCCACTAAAGCAAAACCTGGTTCGAAACAATATACTCCCGGAGATGTACAGGAGGGTATGGTAAGGGAAATTACTCACACATACGTGTATTGAAGCATACCTAAAAGCCTCAAGAAACACCCGAACGTGTACACGGGAAACTGCACTAAGGTTTAAGGTGAGTGAGTGAGTGAGTTATTATGCAACGTCACATCGGCAATATTTCAGCCATATCGTGACGAGATAACTTGACATTGAAATAGAATATATATAGAGATTATAAGATCTGCCGACAAAGGACAGTAAAGCAACTAGAGTATCACAGATATATATGTAAAACTAGTAATTGAATCTAAAACATTTTAACTATAGGGGACAACACAATATTAAAATGGGCTATAGATCTCTAACAACTGAAGGTAGATCACCATACTAGGGACCATGGGGACTTACAGTACATTTGCTTCCTGCATGGGCCCTAGCTGGATTTACATCATCCCCTCAGCTGTTAGCAATTGAGATATATCTAGCCATACAATAAAATTACACATATTCTACGATTAAAAAACGGAAAGTTGAAATTTACTTTGAATGTTTTGGGACTTACGTACCCTCTCAGGAGGACAATAATTTACAGTACTTTAACCCCCCTCGAGGATACAGCCACTGACAATCTGTGTTACTAATTCAAATTTCCAATTATAAAATATTTAGCTATTTACAAATCTGTTAACAAATTTAATTCTTTTAAAAAAGCAATAATTAAATGAGGACTTATATTAGTAAAAAGATCCTTCACAGATCGGGATTTGAAATAGATATCCCTTGTGATGGAGTACTCAACACAGTCAAGCAAGACATGCTTGACCGTGATTCGTTCATCACAATGGATACAAAACGGAGGATCTTCACCTTTTAATAGGTACTCATGTGTATATCTTGTGTGGCCAATACGACATCGTCGTATGATGACCTCTTCAAATCTGGACTGACAACCTAAGTAAGTGTAACCGATATAGGGTTTTATTGCATGTAATTTATTGATACCTACTTGGGTGTCCCACTTCTTTTGCATCAGATCACGGATATAAGATCTTATAGCAGCTTTGTAATCAGAGTATGGGATAAGAAGTGGTGTCACAGATTTGTTGAGTGCTGCCTTAGCAGCAATATCAGCCATTGTGTTCCCAGAAATGCCAACGTGGCTGGGTAACCAACAAAAGACGATGTCGCATTGGCCAGTAGCAAGTTCATTGTACAATTCAATAATTTCTAATAAAAGTGGATGTTTGCAAGAAAGATTTTTAATAGCCTGAAGACACGAAAGAGAATCTGAAAAGATGATATATTATTTATATTTACGGTGTTTATTAATATATTTAAGAGCTGTAAGTATTGCGTTTGCTTCTGCTGTGAAAATTGAACTGTCATTGGGTAATCTGGAAGACATTGTTTTGGACCCAATTACAGTGGCACAAGCAACCGCGCCACCATCCTTGGACCCATCTGTAAATAAGGATTTATATGTATTATATTTACTTTTTAATTGATTATATTCTTGTTTATATTGTAAGTCATTAGTTTCTGATTTTTTTTAATTTAGTGAGTGTTAGGTCGACTTGTGGCCTAACCAATTGCCAAGGAGGAGAAGAAAGAAGATGGGAAGGAGCTATATTTTCCAGCTCAATGCCGGCAGCAGTAATGAATGGCTTAATCCGGAGCCCAAGAGGCGGAACAAGAGAAGATTTCTTGTTGTACAAATCCTCATAAAGAGGTTTAAAGATACAGTGAAATGCAGGATTAGACTCGTTAGAATGTTGTTTGGTAATATATTGTAATGATAATTTTATACGGCGTTGTGCAAGAGAAGGCTCATCGGCCTCGACGTAGAGACTGTCAACAGGAGATGTTCTGAATGACCCAAGACAAAGTCTCAGACCTTGGTGGTGGACAAAATCTAATAGTTTTAAGTTGCTTTTGCAGGCTCCACCATATACGATGGTGCCATAATCAAGCTTCGAGCGGACCAGTGATCTATATAGGTGTAGGAGGGTAGTTTGGTCCCCTCTCCACCTTGAATTAGACACGACTTTCAATAAATCGAGTGCCTTCAGGCATTTAGTTTTTAGAGATTTGATATGCGGAAGAAAAGTTAAATGGGAGTCGAAAATGAGACTCAAGAACTTGGCCTCTTTTACAGCCTTGACGGGAGTGCCATTTAAAATCAGTTCTGGGTCTTTATGTGGTTTATATTTACGGCAGAAATGTATGCAATTAGTTTTTGATTTAGAAAATTTAAAGCCGTTTTCAAGACACCATTTATGTATTTTATTTAAACACAACTGTAGTTGCCGTTCGATAGTATGCATATTCTTACCGCGACAAGAAATGTTAAAATCATCCACAAAAAGTGATCCATCAATTGAATCGTTTAAAACCTTGGATAAGCTGTTGATCTTAATGCTAAATAAAGTGACAGACAAAATACTTCCTTGGGGGACAACTTGATCCTGATTATAATGGTCAGACTGGGTTGAACCCACTCGGACTTGAAATTGCCTGTCTGATAAAAACTGTGATATAAAAAGAGGTAAACGACCCCTTAAACCAAAATCATGTAAATCCTTTAAAATGCCATGCTTCCAGGTGGTATCGTACGCTTTCTCGAGATCAAAGAATATCGATACTGCATGTTGTTTATTTAATATTGCATTTTTAACAAAGGATTCTAAACGTACCAAATGATCAATGGTACTACGATTTTTCCTGAAACCACATTGAATATTTGTTATGAGATTGTTATGACAGTGTGGCCTTCATGTCGAGAGGTCCAAAGGGATTCTCCAAAGGGAGCTCGGAAGGTAAATGGACGGAATGTGTCTCTTTTCTGTTTAATTTTTTACCTTTTGGTTTTCCAGAACTGAGTGAGGCTGGCTGTGTGTGAACTGTTTTGGATTGTACCTCAGGCAGACTCGCAGTCTGGGAAGAAGAAGTAGACTGTGTGACTGGGGACATAGGTTGAGTAGCTGGGGGCTTTAGTGGAGCAGCAGAAACAGGTTTTACTGACATGACCCAAGTCAAATCAGTTTGACAAGCAACAGAGGACATTGATACAGTACGAGTGACTGCAGCAGAGTATGTCACTGGAGTAGAAACCTCATTTTGCAAAAAGGTTCTTAGCCTCAAGGTAAAGGATGTTTTTCTCACATTTTAATCTCATGATTTTTTACTCCTTTTGCCACACAGGGCATGATTTTGATGAGACACCATGAGGGCCATGGCAGTTAGCACATTGAAAAATCTTGTTACAGTCTGTGCTGTCGTGGCTCTCGCCACAGCGATGACAAATCACAGAACCACGACAAGAGTTTGATCCATGACCAAATTTTTGACATTTATAACACCGGAGTGGACTGGGGACATACACGTCCACTCCGATATTAAAATACCCTGCTTTTATAGACTGTGGCAATGAGGCACGCGCAAACGTTAAGAGGTAAGTATTTGTTTGCACAATGTTACCTTCTTTCTTGAACGTGAAACGTTTGACTGCTGTCACACCCTGATCATGTAGTTCTGAAGCAATGTCCTCCTCGGACATGTCTGACAGACAACGAGCTCTGTCGCGAATGATTCCACGACAGGAATTTAAAGTTCTGTGCACAGACACAGCAACCTCAACTTTAGCAAATGTTTCAATCGATAAAAGATTTAGAGATTGCTGTTTCCGTGCACATTCCACCAGAAGTGAACCGCTACGGAGACGGGTGACGTTTTTAACGTCCCCACAAATTCCAGAACAGCCTTGGAAATAGCGAAAGGATTTAATTTGATCGGTAGGAAATCAGTAGCCTCTATCACCAGGAAACGAGCCCAGGAATCAGCATTTGAGGGAACAGTTCTCAAAGATTCATCAACATTGTCGATTCGTCTCTTTGTTTTTATTTCTTGCTGAACCAGATAGTTGTGTAGTCATAATGGAACGAATATGGTTCAGCACCCCTGCTCCCCACCCACCATGGAGTGTCAACAAGGACAGTGTCAATATGCACCGGATCTCCAAGATGCTGACACCAGGGATACAGGGGTGTTATACTCCAAAGAAAACAACACAAATGGCTGCATTTATCTACCAACAAAATGTCAGACTGGTTCGGCCCGTGACAAGAAGTGGAAGACATACATCATTTGGAGGTCATTATCACCAGATTGGCCCATGAGCCACCGCCTTCTGGCATAGGACTGATTCTAGGCAAATAGATATAACAATATATTTGTGAAATACAACATTCAATATCAACATTATATAAATGTACATTGATATAAATTTGAATGATTCAATGCGCAGGGCACGGCGTGACCAGCCGATTGATAGAACCGGGCCAGTTCTACCACCCGTCTAGGTGAAGTAAGGGCCAAAGTGGTGTGTTGGGCAAAGGGAACACGGTTCCAGGATCTTATTGCCCTCAACCACCAGACTCCCGTCCTCCACCGACACAGGGGCGCAACCCACGGCAAACGGGTTGGTGGACCAAATATCCCCCCGGGTCCATAACGGGAGCTCGAAGAACGCTTAGCGTTACCCAGCACCCACCACGAGGAGGTGGCTCTTCAAGGGTGCCTAAGGTTTAAGGGATTTGTAGCATAGGACGTTGGAAGAACCAAGGTGAATAAGATGATACAGTTATGTCCCTTATCCGTAACAGGATCAGCTGGTCATTGGGCTTTATCTCCAGTTTTATCCCCCAACATGGCACAGTTTTCTCAATCCCATATTCTGACATAAACTTAGATGAAGGTCAAGATTCAATACTTGGTGGAAAGCAAATTTGGGAGGCATGTCAAATGTCTTGTATGTGACATAGTCAAAATGTGTTTGATGTAGCATTTTAAACAAAACAAACACTGATTATTAATGTCGACATTATTCCAGCATTATCCCAGTCGGGGACACTAGATGTGAACTTCACATACTGCACCCATGTGGATAACGACACCGCCCACCGCCAACAAACATCTACGGAAATCGACGGAATTTAACGGAATATATTTAAGTCCCATGTTAAAAAAATAGATTCCTACGGCAGATGATACAGATGTTTATTTCCTTTATATTATCCTGTTAACCTCGTGAAACATACATAACTGATAAGAACAGTGAACACGTTACCTTGAAGTTGGTGCTGTAGATAGCTCTTAATGTTTTTGGATGTTCTTAATTTATAAGAGACGTATTTGCATATCAATCTGGAAAGCTGAGTTTTGCGAAATATGAACAATAGGTGCCTTACTTGTATTTTATAACTGGTGACGTATAGTACATGCAGAATTCCAGTTGGCATGGCGGGATGGTGAAGGGTTTGCTGTCGCTGAAGTCGTATTGCTTTGTTGGATCAGCTGCAGAGAAGATCTTGCTCACTGGGTACTGCAACAGTAAATATGTGTAGGTGCTGAAGCCTGAAGATTGAGGCATTGGAAGCACCATTTTCCGATGTACAGACATTAATTGTTGCTTCGGTGAGTTTCCTTCATTCCAGGACCCATGCCACACCACCGAAGGTGAACGTAACAAACCAACGCTTCAGCCACAAGGCTATCCCATCGCTGTCTATCTACATGTACCTGAAATACGTTCAACGTGCTGTTACCCGATCTCATTGATGAAGATTAGGTACCAAGTGTGGATTACTTAACAGATGTAACTCATACCCAACTGATATTTATCCATTTGATGAGCAAGCATTGGAAACACACAATTTCCAGCTTAAGTTTGAAGTATTGAAGTACTGCCACGTGCCAATTTAAGTATCGTTTTGGGTAGGAATTTATTTGCTTGATAGACCAATATGCATATAAAAAAATTGAACCGTCGATACAACATGCATAATCTAAAGTGCAATTCGTCTCACATTCGTAACTTAACGCATTCTTTACAGATATGATACATCACTGATGTCGTACGTGATGTTTAAACTACTTGAATCATATTGGCTGGGATTTGCGCTTTCTTCGCGCCGAATGTCCCTTTAAATACGTACGGCATACTCACTTCAAACCCAATATCGGCTGCCGTCGGGGTGATGTCAAACGTCCTGTTCAATCCGGAAACATAGATAATCCCGTACACCTGTTCCGGGGCTGATCCACCCTTATACGAGCCGGTGAGTGTCGCCCAGATGTCGGCGTTTGGGCCGCTGCCATCTTGAAATGTCATCTGGTACATAGTGGACGTCATTTGCAAGTTTACTTTCTTAAACAGGCAGCAGCATATTTTGATAAACACGTGTTAAAACGTCATCACCTTTGACTGAACCTGCAGACAAGATCAGCGCTCTTCACCTCAACGGGTACATTGTGTGCTACTGATATGACCATGTGATCTTTAAAACATAGCAACTGATGTAAAAGTTTACAGAGTTGAATCGTAGAGACCTGTGAGTTGTACCCTTAGCAAGTAAGTCTCTCAACAGATTGGTGAAGAGTACTGTCCCTTAACCATGGAAGGATCCTCTTGTGGTTTCACTTGGATGGTAGGCATCAATGATATGTGTCATAGATTTACACTCGCATACATTTTATACACCGAGATATTTTCTGATGTTGAAAATAAAGTATACCGAGTTTGAAAGAATTCGGTTTTTTTTAATTTGAGTGTGTCCATTTATCAGACATGTATTCCTGCAGTAGGTTTGAAAAAGTAATATGAGTGGATAACTAGGTGAATAAATGTACTGGTTCTTTGCAAAAAGGTAAGAAATTCGCTAACAGTCACACGACCCCTGGTATGTTCCACTGTTTTAAATGTGCTTAACTTAAAAGGAAATTTATAGATTTTCAAAGATTGGATGTCCCGGAGATGAATCAATCAAGTCTTTCACAAAAGTACCATGGTGAAGTATTCTCTGAGAACTAGCCAAATGTTAGCGCAATCTTGGTTTTGGAAATAATATCGCTTAAGATAATAAACTTAAGATATTTTCAATTAAAAACCATTCGTATGATTAAAGCAACAGAGAAGTATCGAGTATTTTGTCACTTAGTGTTCAAAACGCGGAGCTATGGTCGGTCACAGCTTACTCACCTGCACAACCTGAGCATTTATTTCGAGTGTAGGCCTGTTTGGCTTGAGAACAGTTCCATCAGAGCTACATATCCTGAGAAGAAAATTGCCAGATATCTATTTGTTTGTCATCGACAGTACTTTCCAGGTTGAGTGAAGATTTGTGCCTCCATCACCTGTGGATGCATACCTAGAGTCACCTGGCTCAAGTTAGGGGACAGACCAACGAGCGTTCAAACGCTCAAACATCGCACAAACGACAATATTTGTCGCCGATAACGAATACAAAAGTGGCATGTCCTATTAAGTCCCCTATTAATTCAGGAGCTGACAATGTAATGAATGCATGCTTCTCCAGTTAAGGAAGAAATTTGCTACATGAGCTGAGAGTGGGATGAGAGTCACTAGAGCTGAGATGGTAATAGGCTACTGTAGACCTGAGAGTGTCATAAACACGGCCTACTAGAGGTGAGAGTGGGATGAGAGTCACCAGAGCTGAGAAGACAATGAGTGTAGGCTGGTATTGGTTTGATTTGGTTTGGTTTGGTTGTTCTTCAGCGCCGCACTCAGCAATACATGTATTCCAGCGATATGGTGGCTTTCTGTAGATAATCAAGTCGGGACCAGGAAGCGCTGCTTAGTCGAACCCATCCAATACCTCTCCTAGAATTTGCAGACTGCCCAACGTTGCAACGTTCTACATTACCTAGAGAGTCAGAAGGGTTGCGTTCCTGGCAGCTAACTCGGACACTATACCAACGACAGCCAAGAGACTGGGAGGTACTAAACGTAAGGCACCAAGAGACTGGGGGGTACTAAACCTAAGGCACCAAGAGACTGGGAGGTACTTAACCTAAGGCACGAAGAGACTAGGAGGTACTAAACGTAAGGCACCAAGAGACTGGGAGGTACTAAACCTAAGGCACCAAGAGACTGGGAGGTACTAAACGTACTAAACGTTTGTGTCAAAAGGTACAGAAAAGTTACTTACATATACGGAGAAGAATTAAATTCATTCACGTTGAATGCACCTACTTTTACATCTTGATGCAAAGCTGTACACTGGCGGTTACGAGTGGGAAACTGCAAACAGAGACCCCTTGTTTCACTTTACAGGCCATTTGTGTATAATTATTATCATTGATGGGAGGGGATAGATGAAAAAGTAACTACCGATTGATGATGGAAGTATTGGTATGTCCGATCTGGTCACCTATCCCCACTGCACCCCGCGACAGGACAGCTATCACGCTGCTCTGAGCTGCAGTGATGGTTCCAGTGCCTTGAAAGAAAGCATCGCTTAACACTATACTAGTCCACATCGGACACCTTCAGCCATATAGGTAAAATTGGAACAATTTTAAGATGTCAAAATAATCTTAGCTTTACCTGAGCTGAGTCAATTATCATTTTTTAACGAATTTCGAACATCAAAATGTATATTGCGGATCAAATCCTATTTAAATGTTTCAATAAACGGATTTGCTATCAAATGTCTCGGGTTAGTCAGGCAGCGATCAAAGCTCTATGTCATCGTTGTCGAATCTGATTAGGGAGTTCAAGGAGAGAGATTTTACAGTTGTATGCATTCATGCTGGTTCACCTGGTTTAGACGTGACGTCCATACCACTAGGCTTAATGGCCGCTGCCGATAACAACAACGGGAATGGTTACATCAACAACAACAAAAACGTAAACTAACATTAACCACAATAGCAACCATAAAAAATGTTCCCACCTCCCTTCTGGTCTTGTGTACGGAGCACACCTTTGAAGACCAACACATCTAAAAGTGAGGAGAATACGGACGAAGCAAGAATATTCCTCTGGTCCAATTCTGTGCCATAGCCTCCCAGGACGCGCACCTGGATAAAGGTATTAACATCCAATATAAATTTCTCTATGCGAGTGAGAAGCCTTCGGAGCAGCAAAATCTGATTTGTGTAACTCGAAACGAAGTAAAACGACGCGTTCCGAATGTAACTATTACAACCCAATTATAGTGGTGTCGATGTTTCACTGTCGTTTCATACGTCATGGCATATGACAAAATATATCCTGTTGCGAGTTATTAGATCTTCATACAGAGGATTGTATCGGGGGAAACATCAGACTGGATCATACCTTTCTTATGACTGGATGCATAATTTGTCCTAAAGTGGATGCACAGTAAGCGCATTATGCCACTGTGAATATGCTAAATGTACAGACATCAACATCCACCACTGTTTCTGACCTGGGTGACAGCCGGTAACTGGAGCGCTAAGAGCGCCATCGTTGGGGTGGCGCCACTGTACTGGATGGTGATGTTGTGTCTCAAAGCAGACGTCGCCATTTTAACCAACCAATCTCGCGCAAAGTTAAGGTCCGTCTGCATCCTTGGGAAAGTACGGAATATTTCCGTCATGTTGTCCTGCAGAAAACAATATTCTGTTGACTGATACACATGGATTAAACTTCGCAATCAACGGTATTGTAAAGTATATGTAAACATCACTGAGACCATCAGGCACTTCTGTATCAGTCAGGAAGGAATTTTGTCATCATTGTTTAGAAATTGCGTGAATATAAAGCATGCAGCATATCTTGTTCCGTACAGAACTTTCATTTCACGTGTATAACAATAAGCACCGGGACATACACTTACTACTAACATTCTGCTAATAATACCCTGTTTTGTTCAATATGTACCATAAAACATTTCACGACCGCCTCTTTACAATATCGATTACACTGAAACGTCTGATTGTTTTGTGACGTCATAAGCGTTAAACGTCCCAAGAAAGCCTTCTCCCAGAAATATCGATGAATAATTCATTGCAGAATGTAACTAAGAGCGTATGGTGGCAAATCCTACCTGTATATATGTGGCCAATCCCCACTGCTTGGAATCACTGAAGATTTTGTCCCAGAACGCCTGGAAATATACAAATCATTCACTGACGTCACATGGCTCCGAATCGAAAAAAGTATTTTCACAGCTCCTCCATTGGTAGATTGTTCCATTGTTTGTTGAGGCACACTCAGCATGAGACAAGCTTTAAAACGCAGCGCAAACATCCAGCTCTCTCAATCACTCCACGCTTTCGTAGTATGATGACACGCCATCTACCAAACAACATAGCCTGACCAAAGGATCTTTTAGTCGCCTCTACAACCACCACAGGGCGCTGGTGATTGGTTTAAAGTCAGGGTCAGAGTGGTTAAAAATTGAGTGGATCAGTAGATCACTTCCTTTTACTGACATTGTTTATAGACACATCGTGATACACTTGTCGTATTTCAAATACTAAATCTTCATGGAGCCATATTTTAGTATTAGAAATGATTACATAAATATATCATATTATTATGAAACAAGACCAGTTACTTTGATGAAATATAATAGTTCCACACTCAATGTAAACTAAATGTATAAATCAATAATATTTGTAAATGCCTCATCTGTCGGTATTGCCATGTCTCCTTCCATTTCAAAATTGAACTTTCCGCCATTTTGTGTTGCATATATGTTATCCCTGGACCTGCAATAAATAAATATTGAAATGAGTTCTTGTATTTCTGTTTTGAAAGTGGCAGAGTTTCACGGAATCAACGTAACATAATTAATGTCCTTCTGGACATGTAGTGCTTTTCGCAACAGACCACGAAACAATGTCCTCGGAAGTGTAGCGAAGTCACTGCCTCCAGGACAACTGGAGGGGCCTCTCACCCAACAAAGACACAGACAACCCCATCATGTCCCTATTGAGCCGTCAAAGACTAAAGTATGTTAATGCTTTCACTTAGTTCATTCTGCGAAGCTCCCTTCTCACAACTCACCAGAAATTATTTTTCGCCACAATAGGTACGTTCAAACTCCTGTGGACATACCTGAAAACAAACATAACATTCATTTATCTGTATTACCGTTATCCCAGATCGTTCTGAATGTGGTGTTTTCCGACTAGTTCACAACAAAACAATCCATGTCATCATCTTATTCTCAATGGGCAGGTCAGGTCTTAAAGTGGGATATGTCAAGACAACTACCCTTCCACCAAAAACTCTGTTTTATACTTTTCGCACGCGTGCGTGCGTGTGAGCGTGTGTGAATGACTTGCTACATAAACAAAACCAACGTCACAACATCCAGAAGAACACATGGTCGGGGTTAAGGGTTGCTGGGATTTATCAAGTATATTCAATTTCTTCAGAACTTGTGTAAAACCGAACACAATCTGTACAAAGTTGTAAATCGTATAGAATCTTGTTCAGTCGGGCTACCTATGTATTGATGAACACTAAAAATACTTGGTAGTACAGTGTTACCATTAATATCAATGTGTCAATATGGAAACTGATTTACCACCAGTAATGTTAGATTACTGTAGACGTACTCGATGCCGTTGGGGAAGATGTCTGCTGGTGCTGTCCACTCCTTGACCCCTCCACCTTGACCTTTTGTAAACCACCAGGTGTCCAGCTCCACATACCTGCAGAAGATATGAAACAGGAATAAGCGTATATACGAGGAGTGCATGCATTAGGAATAACAATAGATCATTTGAAGAAAACGAGATCAAGGAATACGGAAGATTTAGGAATAAAGAAAGATAAGCATCGAAAGAGGAGAAAAAGGAATGAGGATATATGTTCCGAACCAAAAGATCAAGGAATAAAGATTATCTGTTGTGCAAAAAGAGATATATCACAGCGTATGGGTAACATGCTATGTTGCGGGATATGTTCACGTTAATCATATATCGCGGCACTTGAACCATTTTTCACTGGAACCATTTTTCATGATTTTGGTCTGAAGTATTCAGTCATCGGAAGGAACATAAATGTCACACAAATCTGCACCTCAGGCGACTCAATCGGCCAAATGTTTCAGTTATCATGATGTATATACTGTAACTTAAACATAAATACATTGCCTCATCGACGCAATACGCCATATTATCAATTGTTGTCCTATTGTACCAAACCTATACAGGTACCTGTATGGTATACTTCTATTGCGGGCATCAGCAAACACTTTGATCAATGTATCTTCATACGTTGATGTTCCATCGGTTTTCTCGAAATAGTAGGACCCTGTAACATTGACATGGAAAAAGTAGGACGTTGACGCCTTGACATGGAAACAATAGGACGTTGACGCCTTGACAAGAAAAAGCAGGACGTTGACGCCTTGACATGGAAAAAGTAGGACGTTGACGCCTTGACATGGAAACAGTAGGACGTTGACGCCTTGACATGGAAACAGTAGGACGTTGACGCCTTGACATGGAAACAATAGGACGTTGACGCCTTGACATGGAAACAGTAGGCACATGAAGGCAGAAGGTCCCAACGAAGGGGTGCAGGTCTGAAGCATTCACCACTCATCGAAAACAAAAGAACATTTGTATGGTGCTACCAAACCTAGACAAATACCAAGTGGGATTCGAATCCTCGATTTAGGTGACTGGAAGTTATCATTGTACACAAGGGGATTTCAGTGTAACATATGTTGGTGATGCTATTATCTTGTGCCTTTGAGTCGTTAGATATCGCTTGATCACTTCTATTCAGACAGGTAGCCTGGAGGGTAAAGCGTCCGCTCGTGACACTGAAGACCCGGGTTCGGTTCCCCACACGGGTACAATGTGTGAAGCCTATATCTCGTTATATTGCCGAAATATTGCAAAAACTGTACTCACGTACTCTATTCAGACAATAAACGTTACAACTGACACGTTTGCGGGGAAACACAAATCTGCCCGGAAACTGTCCCAAAACATTCAAAGCCAAGACCTAAAGCTCACTATTTAACACACTTTATGGATAACAACTGTTGTATTTCGTGGGTGAGACGCGTCTATACGGATTCTTGTACCATTGTCAAACAGCAATGACTTAAAGTAGACATTAATTAAATTGTTTAATGTCACCTTCATCTGTCCAGTACCCCAGTGTGTCCCCAGAGGGATCCGCCGGTTTATCTTCCTTGTATACAAAGCTCCTGATTACGAAACCCCACACAGACAGACTCTGAAAAGTTGAAAATAAAATCACCAGTTTGAAGCAGTTGTACGGAAACATTATCTAACGTCAGGAACACACAATAATCTATTACGAGAGAGAGAGTTTTAGATTCTGCTCACGAATATTGGTTTGTCGACAGTTTCAAAGTGTACTGGGTATACATGTATATTTAGTCGGTATCACAGCCCCAGAGTTATAAACAGGCATATTGTCCAAGCAGAACCCGATGGTAGTCTACTGATGAAACTATGTACCACATAACTGATTACCCTACCATATGGATGTTTTATATGTTGAGGTGGTTTTTGGTATGGAAGGGATGCTTTTCTGTGTTTTCAATGAAAATATATTGAAATATTTCATCTCAGAAATAGAAGCATTCAAATCCCAACACATTGGGATAAGTTAAAAATGTAGATCTTAATCGTAACAAACTAACACATATTCCCATGTATATAGAGGATGATATTCAGAGCAGATGGTTGTCTTTAATATGTTCGACAGAACTGCGTCAATAACACGGTGCCTATTGGTAAGGACGAAGACACGGTGTGCACTGAAACCAACAATAACGACATGCCTACCGACCAACAACACTGAAACTCTGTTCACTCATAAACAACATTAACAATGTGACTTCTGGTCATAGAGAGCAACAGGCTTGCTGCTGATCAACAACAATATCATATGCATAAACATGTCGTTTAAGGACTGTAGCAGTTCCTGGTGTCTGGGAAGAATCCATTCCATAAAACAAGGTCTGTGGTGTAGTGTGATGCTTTGTACGCGGAATTCTGTCTTCGTCAACCCGCGATGGACACATGTTCTGCAACCTTCCGTTCCTGTTGAAGACGACCGCCTCCGTGGTGTAGTGGTTAGAGCGTCCGCCCGGAGAGCGGAAGGTCGCGGGTTCGATCCCCTCATACCAAAAGACGTTAAAATATGGTACTTGTTGGTCCCTGCCTGGCGCTCGGCATTAATGGGTACAACAAGGACTGGTCGGCTCGGAGTCAGTATAATGTGTCTGAGTGGGGTATTCATGCTTCACTGTGGCATGGTATCTCAGTGGGCTAGCACTATAAAACCAGCTTCAGTCTGGGCTACTACATGCAGCCGCACATACACATACACACGCATGCACGTCGTCACATGAGCGAAATATTCTCAAGCACGACGTTAAACCCAATTTCACCTCACCTCCTGTTGAAGACACAAGGACTACCGACGTGTGTGGACTCTTATGTCTGGTTGTGCCTTGTGTGTGACCTACGCGTGCATGTGGCAAGGGTTACGCTTCGTGTCTTTAGTATTTGGATGAAAACGAGGTACGGCAGCCATTTTGTTTATCGACTTGATTCAAACACCCTTTCCTTAGAACCTACTTGAAATTCAGAAATGGACAAAATATAGTCGCTGAATGAATAACCCTTTAAACAGCATTTATTCCTCAAACGAGCCGACGAGATGTTCACTAAGTAGAATATCTACTTACACTTTCAGGTCCCGCCGAGGAATATGCTGCCAAAATGTGGTAGGAGAAATTTGTCGGGATCTGTTCGATTCCTCCCATAATTCCATAGTACAGGAAGTTGTTGGTTTTGTCGTGCCACATTGGTGTCGTCATGACATTATTCAGTTGTCCAAATGCCACAGCATTTCCACTCGAGTCAAACACTGAGAAGGGGCTGGAACCTTCCAAACCATCATGGATGGATGCAGACGGATCCCACCTGAAGAAAAGTCAGTGTTTCGTGAGTGTCAGATACAGTAATATGTTCGTGCATGACCACAGGCAGACCAGAATATTCCAGTAACAGGGAGATATTATGTATGGGAATTTAATTGCAGTTTTTGGGGTCTTGAAATAAGAAATAAACTAATTCGGGTGACGAAATGTACCTCAATATGATTGGGGACAGGAACATATCTTCGTAATACCAAATCACCGATTCCACTGTGTCATAAGGATCATATCAGATGCTCACGGGTGGCAGTCGGAGGCAAGTCAAGTCAAGTGTTCCCGCAAAAGAAGAAAGGACATTTGGGAAATTATGACTGAAGGGTGAACATTAGGAACATCCCAATAAGGTCTAGTACAAACCAATCTCAAAGCTGTCGTGCTGTAACCCCCGACACTACAAAAATCTTTGAAAAGACATTTTTCGATCTATATGTTCTTACTCATCTTTACGATCTTCCATGGGAGTGGGTGGTGGGGTAGCTAGTGTTTAAAGCGTTCGCCCGTCACGCCGAAGACCTGGGAGTGATTCCCCACATGGGTGCAGTGTGTGACGCCCATTTTGGTGTCCCAATATTACTGGAATATTACTCAAAGCAACTCACTCACTCCATGGAAGTAATTCGAGCATTTGATATTATTTCACACACTGAGATTCCGACATATATTGTTTTTCATTAGTTGACATTGAGTCTGTTAATGTATCAATGCAGTAAGCCCAAGAAGCCAAATACGTGCCGTCAGGTAAGAGACAAGAGAATAGATCGTATCCAGTTTTCGTATGTCTCGGGACACGCAGTAAAACCAGCTACAGTGGCCTGTACATAGTCGAGTCTCAACAAGACTATCGGGTGATTGACACCTGGAGCATCTATCAACGTTGCTGGGATACGATAACAAGCATCAACATAACATTGCTCGGTGTCTAAACAAGACATGAAATCAGATCTATCTGACCATATTCGTTAAAACCACAGCATCCAGTACGACAAAATCAGAGCCCTCACTTCAAACTCAGACATCTCCAAGAAGACATCCATATTTAAGACTTCAACTATCTATCAGTCATGACCAAGGCTGATACATACCCCAGCTTACCATCATCTCATCAAAGACTTCAATGAGAGGTAATCCTTCTGTGGTTTCATTTGTAAGGACCTAATGTATCTCAGATTCTCTCCTGTGTATTCAACAGGCGTCTATGCTCTGTTGTAAAACGCTACTTCATATCTGTATATTAGCTTCCTACACCACCCTGTACATCACCTGTTTTATAGCAGTGTTAGAATCGTCACCGAATCGTTTGTCTACATTGTAAACAAAGAAGTTATATCTAATCCTTACTTAGAAAACAAAGTTTTGGATTGACATGAATTCCACTTTATTATCGCCATTGTTACTTGCAGTGCAAATAGCAATTTTTTCTATTATTCACCGAGTAGCTTACCTTCCCACGGACTGTTCTTGAAAGTCAGCTCCCCGAACGACATGTATCCCAGTTTGGACGTGGTGTCCAGTTTGAATCCGGGAAACCACAGATAACACCGTCTATGTTGCTTTGATTTGTGTTTGAGGCTCCGTCGGGGAAGCGCCATATCAAATGAATGGATGAGGATGAAATGAAAGAGTCATCATCAATATCCAAATTATCCTCGTGTTTGTTAAAGTGCTACCTTTGCAGAAACTTCTGACACATATTGTTTACAACTTATACAAAACAAAGCAAGTGGACGGGAACAGAGGAAGTCCGAAACAATCAGATAACGTAACTATTTACAAACACAGCCAAAATTTCCAGCTAGATGTGTGTCGTAGAAAGAACATGTTATAAGTAAAGACTGTTCCCTAACGTAACAATAATTACAATAATGTAAAACGAAATGAGAAGCATCAATGTGGGACGTGTAAATGTATTTACATCCATCTACAATAAAGATTATTTTTTGCGTTCTGAACGTTGAAAAGTTTGAAATGTACATTACCACTATGAATGACATGATTGATGTCCCGTATATGACGATACTCGTGATGACTGGAACGTCACCAGCTCGGTAATGGAAGTTCTTGGAGACCTCGACCCCGAACTGGCCTGTACCGGATATGGTAGTGTTGATACTGTCGAGAACGAGGCTGCCATCATCGGCGGAGAAGCGCGTGTCGTTGATGACGAAGAATGTTGGGGCGCTGCTCAACCACGTGACATTATTGATCTTTATCTCGTAACGTCCGTCTGGGAAGGTAGCTACACTGAAGACATAGGCATCGGCTTATACATATTCGGTTATACACGTGTAAGTGTTTAACTCTGGGGTGGGACTATATAGAACCGAGTGCCACTGTACAAACAACATTAGTCCTACGACTACCTAAGTCTCTGTTAAGGAATGGGGAAAACGACCACCATGCGCTAAGATCATTTGTCCAAGGGCACCCGGGTATCTCAGACAGTAGTTTGTGGTAGTTGAATAGGAACAAATTCTGTGGATAGACAAAATGCTAACACCGAAATGAAGCACCATTAATGTTATTCCTCTTCATCATACCAGATTGTAAATACTACAGAGTTTGAGGTTTCTTGAGTTTCGCTCAGTCCCTGAAAATAAATATTTGTGATAGAACAAACTTCTAGGTTTAGACTGAAATTCCCTGTGAGATTGGAGATTCTGACCTCAGTAAAATCTACACTTGCTTCATATGTGTCGTTTGCATTACATGTGTAGGTGAGTGAGTGAGTGAGTATGGTTTTACGCTGCTTTTAGCAATATTCCAGCAATATCACAGTGGGGCAATTATTCCAGAAATGGGCTTCACACATTGTATATTCATGTGGGGAATCGAAACCGGGTCTTCAGAGTTACTAGCGGAGGTTTTAACCAAAGGGCTACCGGCCCCATTACACAAAGGTCTTCACGGAAGGACAAATAACTGTGAGCCAGATTAACTTTATGCTATCGCCCCGGTAATCATCAACACTAGATACACCAAACAAGCAGGAAATGTTTACCACAATCGTGATACGTGACTTCATTAAGAAGACGATGTTATGAACATCCAAGAAAAATAACAATGTGAACGTTGTCACTGAAAGGAGGCAGGTTCTTTAGCTTTGTAAAACATCACGACTCTCTGAGCAAGTGCGTTGGTTGATGCCAGGAGTCCTTACCATCGGGACATCATGAAATTTTAAGGTAAAGGTTACACATAGAAACCACCCGATGTAGGAGATAAACCTATTGTGGTTCCTACTTGAAACAGTCCCACTGTAGAGTTGGAACTAAACGTTTTAGCACTTCGTTTCTGATAAACCTAGCTGTCAGGAACGCGTTACAATGTAAACCCTGGTTTGGAAGTTACTACATTTTGATGCTTGTGGAATCAAGTGTACGCTGTAATCGTAGCAGATGCAGAGTAATCCAGCAGACATTTCTAGAAGATGCTACACAAGTGGGCAAGCTTGTGCCTCTCTCATCTCACATCAAGTCAAGACCAGAAGTTGTATGAAGATCATCTGTACAAACAGGATATGCGACCGAGTTCTAATTCTAGAGATTTAGAGGGCGGTGGGGTAGCCTAGTAGTTAAAGCGTTCGGTCGTCACGCTGAAGACCCGGAGGCACTACAACAGTACAACAAGGGAAGACGCAAGGGGAGGACAGAGCTGTGCCTCATGAGATCGGATGTCATTAAATAGGAAAATATTGTACACAGTTCTATTATCAGAAGCAAACAACAGAAACAAAAGATCTGAGGGATCAAATCCATAATCGGCCTTGACAAGGGTCAGTGATAAATAAACCATGAACAAATGTACAGCCTGGTATAACCAGAGTATAATCGCTGTTATCCAAGATGGTTGAAACCAATCGCTGTCAAAGACAATCGACAAGATGAATTGTCAACCAATGATTAGTCTGCTCTCTTCCACGAGTAACCTCCGTTTTATTAGTTAGGCAGAAATTTAGACGTGGGGCCTGTCCCTGAAATATGTCTCTTTGGACAATTACGATTAATAAACTATAAACCCATCTACATCTCACTCTTGCCGTCAGTGTAACAATAAACCCATCTACATCTCTACTCTTGCCGTCAGTGTAACAATAAACCCACCTACATCTCACTCTCACCGTCAGTGTAACAATAAAACCCACCTACATCTCACTCTTGCCGTAAGTGTAACAATAAACCCACCTACATCTCACTCTTGCCGTCAGTGTAACAATAAACCCACCTGCATCTCAGTCTTGCCGTCAGTGTAACAATAAACCCACCTACATCTCACTCTTGCCGTCAGTGTAACAATAAACCCACCTACATCTCACTCTTTGCCGTCAGTGTAACAATAAACCCACCTACATCTCAGTCTTGCCTTCAGTGTGTAACAATAAACCCACCTACATCTCAGTCTTGCCGTCAGTGTAACAATAAACCCGCCTAAATCTCACTCTTGCCGTCAGTGTAACAATAAACCCATCTACATCTCACTCTCACCGTCAGTGTAACAATAAACCCACCTACATCTCACTCTCACCGTCAGTGTAACAATAAACCCATCTACATCTCACTCTCACCGTCAGTGTAACAATAAACCCACCTACATCTCACTCTCACCGTCAGTGTAACAATAAACCCACCTACATCTCACTCTCACCGTCAGTGTAACAATAAAGCCACTGATCCTGTTCGAAAATGTTGCTGAGATAAGGAGTGGCAGTGTCCTAGGCAAACACGGATGTCACCATGACACTGGGTCAAACGGGAAATACACCCGCTGATATGGCACGTATTGACTTGCGAAATCGAAGCGAAGGCAGAGATTGTATCTGGGTGACGCTGGTATTTCACCTTGCATACGCCAGCCCCCAAACTTCATATTATAACTAACTTTTGAATGCAACACATGTAGCGGCACTTTTGGAAATATATTTCTAATTTCAGTCGAGCACTCGAAGGCGGCACATTTGAAGCGACCAACATAAATACTTTGAGTATTGCAACATTTGACTAAGCCGAAAATGATGAATAAAGAAAGCATACGAAGGGACCACAATTATATTTCCTGACAGTCATACGTTCGACACAACGGTGTTTTACGGTAACTCGAATGTTAAATAAGTATCATTCTCTAGTCTTCCGTCGTTAGTTTACATGTAAAGATATGTGTATTGACGTGGATCTTCTTATTTGTTACAAGTTAATGATTTCTTTGTGACATTCCAGGGTCTCTTTGACAATCAGTATCATATTCAACACATATTATCTGTCACAGGTGACACTGTGAACATATAGGGCCACAGTTCTAGACCCTATTTCACGGGATTGAGATAACAGTAGTCAACATGACTTGTTTCCGAACACGTAGGAATATATTGATAATATTATCTGTGACACGACAGACATAACGTACCTGTAATTGGGAAGCAGGTGAAACACACACAGAGTAGTACAGCACCGACCAGTAGCCAGCCATGATTTAGTTGCGGGAACCGATGTTGTTTCGATGTAGGCGTTATCTGCCACCTTAGTCACCTCGTATTTCATCTCGTACAGGACAAAGTACAGCTGCACAACGTGTAGTATAGCGGCCCGATAATCACGTGACCCATAACCAAAAGCAGCCCTTATCAAACCGTCATAGTTTCAGTGGTGTTGATAAAGATTGGCTAAGGGGGCTGGTGTATTGAAAATGTGGAATGTGTGTGGTGGAACAGAATATTTTGTGAGGTAATGCGACGTTTTGTGGACATGTTGGTTGGTGTTCTCCTGCGGATCATAAGGAAAATATAAGGTTTCTCACAACTCATAAACAGAAGTTAGTAAATTAGAAGATATATCCTACTCTACTCGGTCATGCCAAAACGTGAAATAGGGCCTGTAAGTCTCGCGAGGCGCTGCTTCCGGTATTTAGCTGGTTCCCGGGGCCCTTTGACGGCGCCAACTTGCGATGTGCGAGACGGAACCCAGCTTACTTACAGTACCAGATTTCTGGTGACAAACGTATATTCAATAGCCAGTTCAATCAATCTTTATTTGCACTTAATATGTCACAGGCCTATAGTACATGTATACAGACACTATTATTTTTAGGCAGTTGAGAGAGTACTTTTTTTCTGTGTAGAAAGGCATGATACTGAAAAAATGACAATGTTTCCAGGTGTTCCTTGCTAGAATAGGTTAATAGAGATATAAATTTATAAATATTCTGATGTACAAAGTAATAATTCTTAATATACTTATTTCTCAAGGTGTGGTAGGCTGCACAGACACAATGAAAATGATATACATCTTCAATTAGATTCAAATCACACATTTTACATATTCCATCTTCTTTTCTTATTCCAATATATATACGTTTCTATTAACAAATATTTCCGAACATTCAAAGATGATAAATAGGTTTTATTGTATATAGATTGCATTCTGTAATAAAACATTTATTTGATACAGATATATCTTGTAACCTTTGTTTAGTGGACATG